TATTTAAACCACTTGAAAGTGAACATCCATGTAAAAACCACTGCTGCATGTAGTTTTAGAAAAAGTGGGAATCAGTAGAACAATGGAAAAGTTATTTGCATTGCTGAAGAGAGAATCCTTTTAATTTTTTTAAATTAAAAACATTCATATTATACATACCAAACTCAGTTCCCTTTCACTATTATGATCCTATTCCTTCCCCTTTTTCTCCCATTCCACTGGCCATCTACTCCTCAGGGAGGGTGAAGCCTACCGTTGGGGATCATTGAAGTCTGTCATATCATTTTTAGGAGGACCTAGACCCTCCCCAATATACCTAGGCTGACAGAGTATCCCTCCATAGGTAATGGGCTATCAAAACTCTTTGTGCAGTAGGGATAAATACTAGTTCCACTGCCAGAGTCTCTAGACTGCCCTGGTGACCCAACTGGCACCCGAGTCCCGGGGCCTGTTTTGGTCCTATGCAGGTTCCCCAGCTATCAGACTGGGGTCCTTCAGCTCCCACTTGCTCAGGTTAGTTGTTTCTGTGGGTTTCCCCAGCATGATCTTGACTCCTTTTCTCATCACTCCTTTCTCTCTGCAACTGGATTCCAGAGTTCAGCTCAGTGTTTAGCTGTGGGTATCTGTTTGGGCTTCCATCAGTTATTGGATGAAGGCTCTAGGATGGCATATAAGGTAGCCATTAATCTCATTATAGGGGAAGGACATTTAAGACAGTCTCTCCATTATTGCTTAGATTCTTTGTTGGGGGTCATCATTGTGGATCTCTGGAGATTTCCCTAGTACCAAGCTTCTTGCTAAGCCCATAAGGGCTCCATCTATTAATATATCTCTTTCCTTGCTCTCCTCTGTTTTTCCCCCAACTCCACTGTCCTCATCCCTCATGTTCTCTTTCCCCTCCTCTTTCTCCTTCCTCCCTCCCCCTCCCTCTGTGCTCCCAATTCACTCATGAAATCTTGTCCCTTCCCCCTTCTTGGGGCACTCCATGTATGTCTCTCTTAGGGTCCTCCTTTTCCTAGCTTCTCTGGGGATGTGGATTTTAGGCTGGTAATTCTTTGTTCTATGTCTAATATCTACTTATTAGTGAGTACATACAATGTTTTTCTTTTTGTATCTGGGTTACCTCACTCAGGATGGTTTCTTCTAGTTTGATCCATTTGCCTGCAAATTTACCAAGATGTCATTTTTTTATTTCCCACCGAGTAGTACTCCATTGTGTAAATGTACCACATTTTCTTCATCCATTATTCAGCTGAGGGGCATCTAGGTTGCTTCCAGCTTCTGGATATTACAAATAGTGCTGCTATGAACCTAGTTTAGCAGATGTCCATGTGGTATGAATGTGCATCTTTTGGGTACATGCCTAAGAGTGGAATTGCTGGATCTTGAGGTAGAATGATTCCCATTTTCCTGAGGAACTACCATACTAACTCACTGGGAGAGGTAAGCACTGGGCCTTCTCAGAATCATATATATGTTAGGGGAAAAATAAAATAACTTGATATTTTTTACTATACTAAAAAAAATATGTTCTAACTTCTGTCCTTCTCCACTTTTATAAGCACTTATATTACTATAGCATTTAAATTCTCAGGAGAGTGTACGTGTTATTGTCACAGTTCTGTATCAAATGTAAGAATAGGTTAACATTCTTATTGTATTGAATTTATTTGATATAGCTAGACATAATTCAACAAAGTGATGGAAGCATGTGACCAGTGACCCATTCCTGCAGTGATCCACTCAGCTGTGTTGTACTAGTCATATCAGTGGGTTTCCTCCCCCAAAATGTCTCTTCTTGCAATATTATTGTGCTGAATATTTCCTGACCCTCCTATAAACTTGAACATTGGGCCATCCAGTACCAAACAGTGACTTTACAAGTTAGCATTTTGAAATTAGGTTGAATTTATATCCAGTTAATCTGGAGCCATGTTTAACTACTTTCTAACTAAAATGCCTTTGTCTCTTCTTTTAGTTTATTTTCAAGTAACTGCAAAATATAACTGAAATTTGATCAAAAATGGAAAAAAACACAAAGCAACAATATGAGGCATAATGGGGGAAGAAAAGAGAAACATATGAGAAAGAACATAAAAGCGTGCATAAATAGAGCATGGAGGAAATAAGAGAGAAAAGTAACACTGTGGTTCCAATTAGATGAAAGACAAATAAAAACAATGAGTGTAGAGAAACCTGCAGGGACTAGTCCTGAATAAGGAAATTTGGATTTCTCTTTGGTCTTTCAACTTTTACTTTTCTACCTTCCTTCACTTCTCCTTTTAATTGGGTGGAGGTAAGAGGTGCTGGTATAGCATTTTAGTTTTTTTCAGTTTTTAAATTTAAATTAGAAACAAGCTTGTTTTGCATGTCAATCCCAGTTCCTTCTCCCTCACCTCCTCCCCTGATCCCCACAACCCCCTATCCCATCCCCTTTCTGCTCCCCAGGAGGATGAGGCCTGCCATGGTGGGGGTCTTCAAAGTCTGTTATATCATATGGAGCAGGTTCCAGGCCCTCCCCTGTGTGTCTAGGCTGAGAGAGTTATCTCTCTGTGTGGAATAGGCTCCCAAAGTTGATTCTTGTACTAGGGATAAATACTGATCCACTGCCAGAGCCCCATAGTTTGCCCAGGCCTCCTAACAACCAAGATCAGGAGCTCAGGGTCAGTCCTATGCTGGTTTCCCAGCTATCAGTATGGGATTCATGAGCTCCCCTTTGTGCAGGTCAGCTGTTTCTGTGGCTTTCTCCAGCCTCGTTTTGACCCCTTTTCTCATCACTCCTCCCTATTTGCAACTGGATTCCAGGAGTCCAGTTCAGTGTTTAGCTGCAGGTGTCTGCCTCTGCTTCTTTCAGCTACTGGATGAAGGCTCTAGGATCTCTTTACAGGGGAAGGTTATTTAAGGTAGCCTCTCAACTATTACTTAGATTGTTAGTTGGGTCATCCTTGGAGATCTCTGGACATTTCCCTAGTGCCAGATCTCTCTTCAAACCTATAATGGCGTCCTCTAATATGGTCTCTTTCTTTTCTCTCCTCTATTCTTCCCCTGAATCAACCTTCCTGCTCCCTCATGTCCTCTTCTCCCCTCCTCTTCTCTTTCTTCTAACTCCCATTCCCTGAGAGCATGGGGGGAGGGGAGAAGATGCTGAAATAGTATTTACAGGATCATTCACTTTAGTGACTGACAAATGGTACAGTCACTAAAGTGAATGATCCTGTAAATACATGCACTTAGAAACATCCCAAAGGTGTAAAACAGACTGTGGTCCAGGGAAACATTCAGAGTTTCAGAACTAAATTTCAGGTTTGCTCCCATAATTACAGAGCAGTGTTTTATTCCAGCGCAATTATTTCATGCAGACGGGGTAACGAGTAATGTCTATTCATGGGAATATGTGTTTCAGAAAGAAGAAAAAAGGAGAGGGATGGCTTGAAAATAAACTAAAGGAAGCAGCATAGGCATGTCAGTTAGAAAGCAGGGCTCTGTATAGAAATCCTTAGGTATTAAGAAATAGATTGAATTAACACTTAAATACGTATAACATCCATTTTGATTTATGAATATGCAAAGAAAAAATTCCGTGGAAAAATTTAAAATATATTGATGACTCCAAGGTAGCATTGAAACAAACAATATTTAATTATATTACCTTTTTTATATGAGAAGGCATAGTGTGGCATTGGGCCCTGAAAGTTATATCCTGTGTTTATAAATTAGAATGTCATGTGAAAATAACCTCAGCCATTACTAATTTTAGAATTGGAGATATATGCAAATAAAATTAGAGGTTATTCACAGGGCGATGTCAATAGTGAACATAGCATATTTTTACTCAAATATCTAGGTATTTTTTGATAATTGTTTATTCTTTCTAAGATGGAGGAAATTAATAAACTCTCTAATGAAAGTCAACTTATCAGAGGAAGTTTGCTAAAATACAAGATTTTTTTAAAAAAAGGAAGATATATGATTTGCAAGGGAGTACAAAAGCATCTGGGGGAATATGGAAATAAATACATCCTGGAGATGGTCCAAACTAGGAAACAACTCAGAAGATCTGGGTTAACCTGGAGGAAAATGTGAGCTAAGCAATTGGTGGGGACAGATGGCCATGTGAGGCTCTCTTGTGTAGGGAATGCATGCTGGTTTATAAACCCTACAGGAGGCAGCATTAACTAGGACATCAGAATTGGGGATATGTTCCACCCCAGTATTGAACTGCATTTCCAGGTTCTTCACACCACTTGAAAACCAACACTTTGAAATGGTTATTAGGTTAGTCAGTGACCTGAGAACTTCAGAGTGTGCCCCTGGCAGACAGACTTTGATGTGGAACAATAGGATTAGTATTGACCTAGGGTGAATGGCAAACAATAAAACCAAAGCTACAGACAAGACCTGCACAATATAGTTTAAAAATATCTAAAATCTGAATGGGGCATAGCCTGCAAGTGGACAACAATAGTTTTACTTCATATGCTACACAGAAACTGTAAGTTGATAGGAATGAGAAGCAAGCAAATTATATCAACATAAGGTTCATGGAGGGTTCTTGCAAGGCAAAAAGGAGTAAAGGAAGGAAGGAAGGAAGGAAGGAAGAAATGAAGGAAGGAAGGAAGAGAGGGAGGGAAGGAAGAAGGGTAGTCTTGAGGGAGTAAGAACACGATATTGATACTGCAATGACAATGATGATGGTGATGGTAATGGTGGTGCTGATGATGGTACTTTGATGTAAAGATAGTGACAGCGTATTCACAAAGTATTGTTAAATGTCAAATGTAACCTTTTATGAATTTCAAAAAAAATCACAGTGAGACTCACTAAAGTTTGTAAATAAATATAAAGGAATGATGCCTACATGATTATACTTCGAGAGGTGCCTACGTCTGGGGTTATATAATAAAATAGAAATTCTGACAAAATTACTAGTTTAGTTAACAGACTATAGTCACTGAAAATCTTATATATAATGCCTTATTCTCTTATTTCCCACTCTAAAGGAAAGAAAAGAACAAGGAAGAGGAGGAAGGAGAAGAGAAGTGAGGATGATTAAATAAGCTTTGTCTGAGAAGTTAAATCATTTTCAAATCAATTATTGAGACTTCTCTCATTACTTTATAATTTAAAAATCAGGTTTCAAAGGTAGAGGTACAGCTGTATTTTTAGGAAAGTAGTAGAACAAAAACTGTGTGTGCAAGTAGAATAGAATGAAGACGGAAGACCCACGATCAGCTCCACTCTATCTTCTTTACCACACGATGGCACCAGAGTGCTTTGCAAAGGTTTACCTGCCGCCTTTCCTGCATCTGATGCACTCACTATGTTACTTCATCTATCACATATAATAAGTAAAAGCTACACTGCATTCTTCATTGCCTAAAAAGGAACAGGGAACCTGACAGTTTCCCTTGGAAACAAATGCCAAATGTGAAATATCGATGGGTTTCAAATCAATATGAAGTTAAGGTGGGGAATAAAAATAGATGGAAAGCAATATTATTAAAATAAAATAATACAATTTAATAAAATAGAATTATGATTTTAGAGAGAATAATCTCCTAAATAGTGTAAGGAGCAAGTTTCTACATTTACAATATATTTGGATAAATTATTAAAATCAGAAATGCAAATTAGACCTAAGTAGCAATATTCCTAAAAAAGAGCAACACTCTTTGAGGAAAGCATCTGTGAAGAAAGACTGTACCTTTAGCAGTAGGCATACAGATGGCCATAGGTGCATTTCACACAAAGCTCACAGCTACATTAAGAATATTCCTGGATCTACTGATTGCATGTACTACCTACTGTGTGCTGCATATATAGACAAGGCTTAGAAGCAATTAAAGTAAGTACAAGAACGCCTAAAATGAAAATCCTATATTGACTGCTTATGAGCTATGTAATATTAACGACAATATTTCCCAGTAATTCAATATAAAATGTTATTATAAATAAGGCTTGGAGTTACTACCATTAGATATTTGAGCAACTAGAAGGTCATGTACAGAGGTAGAGACATCAATCTCACTTCCAATTGATAGAAGTTTGACTAAATATTTCATTTAATTCCTGGGCCCCACACTGTTACTGAGTTACAGATTCTAAGTTCATAAATTGCAGTCAAATAAGTAGCAAATTCCAGGTAGAGAATAACACAATGAGAGCAAGAGTGACAGAGAGAGAGAGGGTTGGAAGGAGGGTGGGAGGAAGGGATGGATGGAGGGAGGCAGGGATAAATGAATGATGGAAGGAATGAAGGAAGGAGAGAAGGAACGAAATAAAGAAGGATGGGAAGAGACAAAACCTGAAAAGTGGCTCCAGATCAGATGCTAAAATCCGTGTTAGGCTGGTGTGTAGAACACTTCCTTATGAACAGCCGTTGTAACAGACTTGACTGAAGTGACAGTGACCCTCACAGATAATGCATCAAGCTGCAACAAATGTCATATCTCCAGCTGTAGTGAAATTATCCATCTGTGTCAGAAGAATGCTATTCATTCTTTATTTCAGTTTTTCAAGTTACAATCTAGGCTGGATTTCTAGCTTGCCAGATCAGGGGGATTTTCTGGGTCTTTCTATGGCTCACAAAAAATAGGAATTCCCTGTCCTATTTCTTTTCCTCCCTTCTCATTCACATGCAGAATAGCAGTCCTTTTATTTCTTGATCCAAGCTAAATCTCATTCTAGAACAAGGGTCTTGTCTTTTCTTCCTGTTTTCTTCTAACTATCTGAGAACTTTTCCAACCACTTAATCAATAGTAATTATGCAATGTAACAATTTACTTATCTATTTATCCAAGAATCATTTATTTGGGTTCTAATTATATTTGAAGTCTCTGAACTACTGTTGATGCAAATGTGCTTTTATTTTCAGAGCATTTGCTAGACCACACATATAAAACATTGTTTCTAATATTATGATACACGAATACAGGAAAATGTTTCTATAGCTTACTATAGATATACTTCATCTTACTCTATTGTTTATTGCAAGTATTATTAAAAGTGTTTTGGATGTACCAATTGGGCATGGACACCTCATATCAGTTCATTTCTGCGTTACAACTCGTTGCAGCATGTGGGAGAGATATTTTGATGTGAGCTGTTTACCTGTGGGTATAAGAATACACTTTAGAATGTAGTTAGGAATTGCACTAGTCTAGGGTCTCAGTTTGGGTTTGTATTTCTATGGAAAGACACCATGACGAGGGCAACTCTTGTAAGCAAAAACATTTAGCTGGGGCTGACTTATAGTTCAGAGGTTAAGCCCATTGTCATCATGGCAGGAAGTGTGGTGGAATGCAGACAGATATGGTACTGAAGAAGACACCAAGAGTTATATATCTGCTTCATCAGGACGCAGGAAAAGGGAATGACACTGGGCCTGGCTTGAGCTTCTGAAACCTCAAAGTCCACTCCTAATGGCAAACTTCCTCCAACAAGACCATACCTACCTCAACAAGTGCATACCTCCTAATAGTACCACTTCTTAATGAGCCTATGGGAGTCATTTTCATTCAAACCACCACATTTAGTAAGGTGGTATTAGATTCGCTTTTGAGGTCTTGCCCCAGAGTCATTAGCTAGAACTTCTGAACCTGAGAAAGAAGAGATAACAAGACACAGAGGACCAGGAAATATGCTGTGAGATTTCATCTCCTAGAAATGATGTTCATATTCTATGAATCTTAAGGAACCCCATCAAGAGACAAAGAAACAAAAGCAATTAAAGAGAGCTGAGGGGGAGGATTAGTCATTTATAGAGATCATTCTTTTAAAATGTTATCCTATTCTAAGTGGTGATACTTTCAATCATATACATACAAGCAACACTGAATGGATCAGCAGGTTGCATTTATATATTTGTGAATTTATAAATACATATAATAATTGAAAAAAGAATACCATGAATTTTATAGGAAACAAGTGTGGAGAGTACATGGAAAGAATGAAGGGGTAGGGGAAGGAAAGGGGAAAATTATGTAAGTATATTTCAGTTTTATCCATATAATGTTCATTATCCAAATTTTATGTGTATTAATCCAAAAAATTAAGCCTGATTTTTCCATACATGTCATATGTGAAATTGCTATTTCTTGACCACATAAATGTAAATAAATGAAAGTTTAGAAGTACTTGTATATATTGGATAAATAAGTTGAAATCTGGAAATGTCAAACTGAAGGTTGTCAGTTAATTTTAAAAATTTTGGAAAAAATCGGGAACAATCTTCATGGCACCATGGGTTTCTATTACAAATACCACTCTGGTCACCATGTAAAAAAGTGAATGAAATGAGCGCAATTGTTTGAAATGAGAGAACTGAGACAGGGAGATCTATTAAGAGTCTGCTGTAGGAGTTTGTGTGAGTAATGCTACAAGGAACAAACAAATAGATTATGATTGAAAGAATTTTACATCCTACCAGAAAAAAAGGAAAACATAGAGATGTTTGAAATACCTTCTAGATATTTGACTTGGGCAAGTGAGTGCACGAAATGGAAAGATTTATGTGCAAATATTCAATGTTTCAAAGCTAGAGTGATTGCTGAATGTCTGTGAGGCTGGATCTCATCAGGAATGTCCTGAAGAACAGGGATCATAGTCAAAGGCATATTACTTCACAGTAAAGGTGATTTCACTACGAAACTATCTGGTTCTGTGACAACAAGGAAAGAGACAAGCTAAGTTGGAGCCAGAAGGCTGAAAAACAATGAATGTAGCAAGAAAACGTAAAAACACAAGAAAAATCTTGGGAAATGTCATTATTTAAATAAATAACTTTATTTAGCACAAAGGTCACTAATTAGTCAATGAATATAGAAAGCAAGAACAAGTAGAATGAAAACAGGAGTAAACAGAAAGCAAGGAGATGAAGGCTCCACCAACAGTTCATGTTACACATCCATTTTGATGTTTCCATTTTTGTTCAATAGCAAATGACAGAAAAACCTTCTAACAATGACCCAACCCACTGGATTTATTTCTCTCCTTAGTAGTAAGTGTAGTGTAAGACAGACACTGGTTTTGTTCAGCAATTCTTCTAAGGTGAGCTCTATGTCTATCTGTATGTGTGCCTGTTTCTGTCTCTTTTCCCCCTTACATTCTTCCTCTCTCTTCCTTATTCTCTCTCTTCTCTTCATCACTGCAAAAATGCTGGTGGTGACAGCAATGGTAGCTACTGCTTATGTGTCAATGGCAGAAAAGAGTTGCGTAAGTTAAGTCTAGCCATCTGATGTACATGTGATCTATTGCATATCCTGTAGTCCAGTTCTTGACACAGGAATGCTGAGAAAGTGGGTGTTTCAGCTCAGTGTGAGTTTCCTCTAGTGAAGATAGTTTTCTGTTACAGCTTTTGAAATTGTTTCAGGTTTTAGAATGTTTTCAGGTTCTCTGTCTCTGTTTTTCTCGGACTTTATATCATATTAGAAAATCACATAAATTTGAAGATTTGGTGAATATTATGTCTATCAGATAACTTTCTCCATCTCTATTCTCCACCTACAAAATGGGATTATGCTACAAGATTATGATATACAATATGTTACAGACTTTACTGACGCCCAATTATATAATACCAAGGTATGATGGCTATCAATATTAAGACTCAGGATTCTCTCTCTCTCTCTCTCTCTCTCTCTCTCTCTCTCTCTCTCTCTCTCTCTGTGTGTGTGTGTGTGTGTGTGTGTGTGTGTGTGTGTACTGTAGTGCTCTGTATATATCTGGAGTATTACATGCCTAGTTTGAAAACTATTCAGTGAAAATATTTCATTATAGAAGTCTTCACATATGAAAGATTTTTTAAAAGACTTGCTTGGTATATTGTTCCACCTCACTAAATGTTTGGAAAGGTAAAGGGTTTAATTGTTACTGGTGTTAGTCAACAGCATGATTATGTAAATAACTGGACATAAATCTTTAATGTACTAAATTCAGTATGTTTTCTAAACAAGAGAATATGTAAGCAGTCTCTGATGTTTACTTGCAGTGATATATTGATGTTTATTTCCAGTGCCAAATTGTAAGTGTCAACACAGGATCATGTTAATCCCAGTATTATG